CAGATAAAGATATGCTGTCAGGTGATGTAGAACAGCCTCTCTCACAGAAGGCTCAGCCATGGAGGCCCTGCAAGCCAGGTCAGCTTGTGTGTTCTTTGGGAGAGGAAAATGAAAAAGGAAAGGAGTAAAGGGGGGCGGGGGAAAGCATTATTAGGCAGGAGCAGAGCAGGAGAGCAAGCTGGCCTACCAAAGTGACACTGGGTCTTAATTAAGAGGGGAGTAGATTAGGAGTGAAAAGAAAGCTCAGTGAGAATGTGAGATATGAAAACTGACCTGATAGATAGATTGAGTCTTGAGTCTCTCACTTTTCCTTCTGTGGCTCTTTCTCAGCCTACAACCTTTTCTCAGCCCTGAGAGTTCTTCTGTAGTGGGGATCCCGTTTTCTCTTCCCAGTTTCTTTGGAGGATTGGATTGCAGATGCTGGTTCATTTCCATTGTGGCATTTCACAGACACAACACAGTCTCATATTCTGGTCACACTTTTGCAAGTTCCTTTAGGGTCTGGTTTCAAATGTTGGCCCTGCCCCTTTGCAGTTCTTCCCATTGTTCCACACACTGCTTGCAGTCTGTTCGAGTTTCCTTGTAGACTTTGATTCCCATCAGGTTCTCAGCTTATACTGGGTGGATCTAATTGATTTTCTTTAGTCTAACAGTATTCTGTTGGCGAGGTTTCAGCATTTAGTACTGTGATACTTGCGCTGTTTCTGGAGAATGTGGTTCACACAGGTTCTTGGGCTGCCAAGCTACTGATGCAGCAGCAGTCTTTTAGAAATTTCATCTCACTTCTGCTTTGCCAGCTACCTACTGCCAAGCACCCAGAGCCAAGGAGAGGTTTTTCCTAGCATCTTCTTCTGCTAACACTGCTGCTGCTGCTGCTTTGGATGTGGCCCTTCCCCTCAGCTCTTTAGAGTGTGTTACTCTTCTCATAGTGGTTTCTGGTAGCATATTGTTTTTAGAAACTGGCAGACTACCTGGGTGTGTCCCTTTATCTTGATCTACTGATATGAGAAATTAGTACCTTTAAAAAAATGTTGGGTACCTGGTGTGGTGGCGCAGGCCTTTAATCCCAGCACTTGGGAGGCAGAGGCAGGCAGATCTATGAGTTTAAGGCCAGCCTGGTTTACATAGCAAGTTGCAGGCCAGCTGGGGCTACAGGGAGACCCTGTCTCAAAGAGACGAAAATGAAAAAAAAAAAAAATGTAGGGAATTTGCAGTCAGTAGTAGGTTTAGAGTTATTACTTCTTCACCAGTTTCACCATTTGTTTTGGAATGTGATTCCATTTCTGGAATTCTGATTAGATGTATATTAGGTGTAGTTATTCCATCTACTATTAAAACTTTTCTTCTTGGTCTTTTTGAGACCGGGTCTTCCTGTAGCCCCAGCTGGCCTGACACTCGCTATGTAGACCAGGCTGGCTTCATTTTCACAGAGATCCACCTGCCTCTGCCTCCTGAGTGGTAGGATTAAAGGTGTGTGCCACACCTGGCTCCCTTTTTGGTTCATTCTAATCCCATGCTTGATTTTCAGAGTTCTAAAAAAATGTATTTTGATAGTTTTGCAGTGTTGTCAGTACTTTCATAGAGGAACATATTCTCAGAGCTTTTATTTGACTGTTCTAGAAGTGCTATACTGTAACATCCTTATATTTTTCTCCACATGTTGTGAAGAAAACTCTGTAAGTGGAATGCCTTGTGGAGGTCAGAAGAGGGCATTGGATTCCCCTGGATCTGGTGTTACCAACAGTTATTAGCCATCATGTAGGTGCTGGGAGCTGAACCCAGGGCCTCTGCAGGAGCAGCCAGTTCTCTTAACCACTTAGTCATCTCTCCAGCCCTCGCAAATATTTTTTTTTACTGATAAAATGGCTTCATAAGTGTCCTATTGTCTCCCCATTGCTGTAACAAAATACTCTGACCAGTACCAACTTGGGGAGGAAAGGGTTTATTCAGCTTACATGGAGCACTGGCCATGGAGGAACATTGCTTACTGGCTTGCTCCCCTAGCCTCTGCTCAGCCTGCTTTCTTATGCAACACAGGTAGCACCACGCACAGTGGGCTGGGCCATTCTACATCACTCAACAATCAAAAAGATGCCCCACAGACATGGCCACAAGCCAGTCTTATGGAGGCAGTTCCCCTAATTGAGGCTCTGTCAACCCAGCTGTGTCAAGTTGACACTGAAGTTATCCAGCACAATAAGTAAATAATTTCACACTGCTGACTTGCTGAAGGAAATAGAATAATCTTATCTTTCACAACTATGAAATGAGTCAAAGTCTTGTCTCTCATAATAACTAGCTTCTCCTCTTTTGGTCTTTTTGGGGCAGGGTCTCCCTCTAGCCCCAGCTGGCCTGGAACTCACTATGTGGACCAGACTGGCTTCAGTCTCACAGTGATCTGCCTGCTTCTGTCTCTTTAGTGCTGGGAATAAAGGTGTACACCACCCTGCCTGGTCTAACTATGCTTTTTATAATGTCCTTTTTATGTATATTAATCTAATTGCTTTGTGTTATTTGTAACATTGTTCAATAAAAGCAAAGAACATGTCAGTATGTAAGTTTAGTAACTTTAGAGTCACAGATACAGTATATCTATATATGTGACTTTAAGCAACACAACAATTGATTATCTTATAGTTCTGGAAGTCAGAAATCTGAAATGAGTTTTACTGGGCTAAAATCCAAGTGTTAGTAGGTCAGTGTGCCTTCTGGTTTTACTCTTGCACTTCTAGAGCCCATATGTATTTCCTGGATCAAGTCCCCTTCCTCCATCTTTAAAGTTAGTGATCATCAAATCTTTCTTTTTTCTTTGACTACTTCTTGTCTTCTCTGACATGTTCCTGCCCCCTTCCTTGATTCATAGTGACTCATAATAATTTTTAGTCCATATGGATAATTCAGCATAATCCTTCCATTTCAATATCCTTACTTTAAACATACTTACAAAGTTCCTTAGAAATCTAAGGTGAGATACATTCATGAATTCTAATAATTAGGAAGTGGATATCTTGAGAACACTACTATTTGGCTTTCCAATAGAAGTCAAAGGTTTCTAAGTATGAATTTAATGGTGTAAATATGTATTCAGATCACCGTAATGACCATATTGTCTGTGTACAACCTGATGAATTTTCACAAAATAAAATATCTATGTACCCAGCACCTACAAAAGGAAACAGCACTAATGGGCAGTCTGTATACACAAAGGTTTACTACTCAAAGATAACCTGGTTCAGTCCCTTAACTACGAAGGCTAATTTTCCTTTCTTGCAAATTATATTGTGGGAGCTATACTGTATGTATTCTCTTTTGTATTTGGGTTCTGTCATATGATTCATTTATGTTGCTGAGAAGAGTAAAGGCCTATTCATTCTTATTACTAATTTAGTATCATAGGAATAAAATACAATTTTTGATCCTATTCGGTTATTGAATGTTTGGTTTGCTTTAAGTATTTGTCTAGTATGAATGGTGTTACAGTGAACATTATAGCACATGTCTGTCTTTAGGTACCTCCATGTAGGCATTTATTTTCAGTGGAATTTCTGGATCACAGGAGAAGCATATAATTAACTTTCATAAATATTTATACATAGTTTTACATTGTGATTGTATCATTTTGTACTGCCATTGATAGTATGTGATGGTTTCAGTTGCTCCATCATCATCAACACTTGATATTATCAGTCTTTTATTTTCAGCCATTCTGGTGCGATATAATGGAATTTCCTCAGTGTGCTGATTTATATTTTCTTAATGATTAGTGAGTTTTGAACGCTGGTTCTTTATTTAAAAATCAGTTTTTAAAACATAGGAACTCGGTGCTGGAGAGATGGCTCAGTGGATAAGAACACTGGTTGTTCTTGCAGAAGACCTGGTTTCAAATCCCAGCACCCACATGGCAGCTAACAGCTGTCCATAACTCCAGTTCCAGGGGATCTGACAGCCTCTTCTGACCTCTGC